CGCTTTTGCCGCTGAGCTAAATCCCCAGCCCCCCAAATTTAAATCTTTAACAGGCCACTTTGAGGAAAGGAGTTTTATTTTCACCATGGATTCACATTCATACTCTCCAACACTGCGTCTTGATCACATTTCCTGAACATGTGATTGACGCGGTGCATCAGAAGAAGCTGGAAATATGTCAAGATGCCACATATACTATGTGCTGCAGGCAGGTTATAGCTCGGGGCCTCCAAGTCATCAGGCCCCACTGGAACTTGAAAATTTATCTCTTGGATTTCTGATGTGCACAAGGATCCAAGCTATCACGAGGAAATCAGCCACATCTCTGCCTGCAGAGGGCAACGTTGGACACGCAGAGACAACTGGCACTGATACCCACAGCCCGGGAGCCAAGGAAGGCTCAGAACGTAAGTTATTCTCAGCATCTGCGGCTTTCTGGACAGGGACTAAATTATTGTGGAAAGGGGAAAGAGAACCTACATAAATAAATGAGTTACAAGACGGTCTGACTCCAGAAGAAAGGGGCTTGAGCCTTTAAGGTTCAGTTTATGACTCAAATCAACCAAAAGGCATTCTGCCTGCCGGATGAAGTACCCTTGGAATTGGCCTACCAGATGCGTCCCCCATCTGTCTGACCTGAAGAATAAGCACTGTTACATTTAATTTACATCTCTGCTTTTAATACTGAAAGCAGTTTATTTGATTTAGAAATGCCTTCCCAAACATATGAGCCATTGTTATTTTGAGCAAACATGTCAAGGCTCTTCCCCCAGAGGAAATGCGGTCAGAAGTCTTTATTAATTCATCAGATAATAAAAAGCACTTTTGATTCTAAATCCAAAGGGCACCCACAGAGTCTTTACAGCAAGATATTTTATGAGAAGATATATGGGAAAGAGTGTTCATCTTGTGTGATTATACAGAGAGCAGAGACGATACGCAATCCAGGCAAATCTGAAACTAGAAACTGACCAAGAAAGCTGATTCTAAAATGGACAAGATCCAAGCGGTCTTAAAGGAACCATGCTGTCCAATCTTTCATAGGTCTGTGCTGGGCCCTGGATATACAGGGAAAAAGTAAAGTCAAGGCTGTGGTTGTGAAGAAGCGTATGGATGCTGGCTGGTACCTGTTTGCCACACAGCTGTTAGGGACTTGGCCTGCGAAGTTACAGTTCTCAGATACCTGTCTCCAAGCTCAGTGGAAAACACCTTAAATGTCACAAATTACTAAGAAGGTTTTAAAACACAACTTCCCAAAGCCAGGCCATAGTATTTCTTCACTTGATATAAATTCATTCTTTCACAATGGGAATAGGGTTTGGTCATGTAGAAGCATGATTATTCTATGGCTCTGTTAGAATTGTGTTTTTTTTGTTTTTTTTTTTTTTAATTCCTGTTCCTTCTATTAATTTCATCCCAAAAAATACAGTTAGAGAAAGAACGCGATACTACAGCTATAGTCTCAAATAAGGCCTTTGTCAAACTTTCCAACAAGACCACTATTATGTAGTCTGGGTAAAATAAATCTTTGTTAACTCTGGGAACGTGCAGTACACAGAGAACCCAAGAAAAGTTCTGAGATAGGATGTCAAGACTCAGGAAAAGAGTAAGAAATCCACTGTCAGTAGCCACCCGGCTACGCTTAACTGGAGGAGGCTGAGCACCTCTGTCCTGCACTGGTCCTTACCTCAGAATCTCACACAAATGAAAGCATCACTGAACCTAAACCTGCCTCCCTAGCCCAACAGGAAATAAGGGCTTGCATTCCAATGCAATTCCAATTGCTTTGCATTCCAAAACAATCTGTCAAAGGAGAAAAAGACAAAGCTTTAAAAATTAAAAGGGTGCACGAGATGCTTTGAAGAAGAAGGATGACTTTCTCCTCCACCATCCTTAACTAGTAATATTTTTGAGGAAAGAAAACTGGCTATTTCAAGGGAATGAAGCCTAGTGGGCCAGCAGCTAAATCTATAATATCGCTACGGAGGCATCAAAGGACTACAGAGGACTACCTGCACAAACACAAAGGTAAGACCAAGGCAAGGATGGTTTAAGGATCTGGAAGGGAAATCTGGACAGCGACACAATCAGCTTGGGCTTAGTAGGATATATTCATGCAGTTTGCAATTAACTCTAACTATAACCAACGTTATTCCTGGCCAGCCAGGTGCAGAAAGGCTTCCAGGAAGTCATCATGGAGACCCACCCTAGTCATAAGAATGTTAGTGCACTGAACACCTGATTGCACTACAGGACATGCCAGGGTCCTGTGGTCTCCTATGTGGAGAGTGAGAGATACACAAATAGCTCTATGGATAAAGGTGTGAGTTGTGTGTGTACAGAATGCCTAGAAAGCTGACAATTAGAAAAGCTAAATAAATGGTTTAGAATAATGATATATAAATGACTTTTTCCATTACAGAATTTTTAAATAATGCCCCAGAATCTTATCCCCAACAGTTCAAGGAAGATTTGCTTTATTTTCCATTGCTCTCCCCTGCTCAGGTCTGTGCCGCCTCTTAGATTCCCTTCCAGACTGTGAGGCTGCAGACATCTTACTTGGAATCGCTCATCAGTCTCAATCTCTCCAATCTGTCTCAGAAGATCCCCACTGGCTTGGCCAATGCTCCCAGCGGCAGTCAGGACGGTCTGTCGAGGCTGTGAACAGAGAACACACGTCACATAGAAAGTGCATTTTCTCCACCGCGACACGAGACCCAGCAGTACACACGGGAACCACACGGGACTGGATCCTCTTAATCATAAACTGGAATCTTAGACTGTTTGGAAGATAGAAGACAAAACGTCCTGGTAAAATCTGTGCAAGGAAACAGCTCGAGTCTCATAAACCGGCAATAGGTGGAAGGACTGAAAATCCACTAGGTGAGCCTCAGACAGTTATTAAGGAGCTTTATGGTACATGCTTTCTGAAAATTAGGGCATAAACTCGTATTCTTTTTAAATGTATACTAGTCATAGGTGTTAAGGTGCTGGGGTTGCAGCCAATCAAATACTTTAGTGGGGAGACTTTATACTAAGAGCTCTGATCCTGAAGGTTGAACAAGAATATCTGCACTTATTTTAATAATTCTCAGGGTTACTGTGGGCAAGCAAGCCCCGTAAGGGTGCAAGGGACAGTGCAGGAGGCTGCAGCCCCGGTGTGCCCAGGGGATGCAGCTGCCCCATTTGAACCGGAGAACTCACCTCTCCAGAAGTGGGCTGCACAGCTTTTAACAAGTCAGACACCGCCCCAGCAAGCGTCCTCGCAGCTCGGAGCAAGTCCTCACCGCTGCCCACCTCATCGTCCATGAGAGCCGCCAAGAGCTTCACGCCCTTGGACATCTCCGTCAGGTTGGAGGAAATCGTGGTGATCGCACAACCCACGGCCGTGTAGTCAGTGTCCGCGGGGTCACCTGGGACAGAGGCATCGGTGTGGAGGGAGATGGTGAAGGACCAGGAGAGCCCAGGCAGGCAGGAAGTGAGGGGTCAGGACCCAAGACACACTGGTGGGAGCTCATCCCCCACCATGCTGCAAGGGTCACGTACACAGCTCCGCAGGGGCACACGGACGTGGCCCACATCTGTCTCTAGGCTGACGCCAGTAAGGCCCTCTCCCCGGAGGACTCTCACTCTGAGATTTGGAGCACAGGCGCCTTTAAGATTCAGCCTTAGCACGTCACAGCCTTTTTCTTTTAGGTCCCTATTAGCAGCTCAGGCCGCAACACTGCTCCTGAAACCTGGGTACACTGTGGAGTGAAGCCAGGGCCCTTCCTGGGCGTCACTGCATGGCAGAGGAGACTAACGCTGGGCAAGACAGGTGAAAGCGTGACGACGGATTCCTATGTTCAATACCGTGTTCGGGCTATCAGCTCCCAGCGGGGAGAGGCTGGCCTCAGCAGACTGTGAAGCAGCACATCCAGCAGGGTTAATAATAAGGAGAGCTAAATAAATGCCTGTGAAGGATGGTGCACGGTATCTACAAAAAGGAAGCTGTTCCTTACATTTCTCCTGAATCACGGTAAGAAAATGCCTGAACTACGCCATGGGCCTAAAAATAGACTCTCTTCTCCTATGAAAATCTGTTGTTTCAATAAAAGAATAACTTTCTTCTCCACACAAAACCGCAGTATACCACAAATCACTCAGGGACTTACCAGCCGTGAGGTTGACGACTGAAGCCGTTCCAGCTGTAATAGCATCAACTTGAGAATGGATTTCGTGTTTGGATTCATCCACTTTGTTCTGAACCCACACCCTAGACGCCTGTAAAGCCAGACACAGCACGACACAATCAGGGCACAGAATGACCCAGCAGACCAGACAGGTTGTGCCACAGAAAGAGAACAGCACTTTGGCTAGACTGTCCTTACTGGGGTGGCAACACATGGCCCCTGGGTCACTGTAAACCACACCCTTAACAGCCCTCTTACTTGTTCAGATACTTACAGATTGGGATGTAGCTTCTTCCTGTGTCTTATGCTAGTTACTAACTGTTTTTAACTTTTAAGGTTTTGGGGAAAATTCTATTTGGCTCTATCTAGGTACATTTAATGAAAAAGAGAAGAAATATCAATGTCACTGTCTAATAATAATCCCGCACATGAACAATAACTGCTATTGGCAATTTTCACCCTGCTTTTTAGGGAGCAAGATCTATATTCAGGTGTATTAGCTCACAAGGATTCTCCATTTGTGGGAGAAGCACCTCCTCTTTACATGAACCAGGGAGACAAACACCACCATCGTGCAGATGTGACACCTTTCCTGGTCGTTCTGGGATGGCCCAAGACCTTTGTTCTAGATCTAGCCCTACCGCTGAAGGTGATGGGAACATTGCAAATTACACCCAGATCCTGGGCTTTACCTTTTTCCCTACGATAGCAATTCAATGGCTTCTAAAAACCTTTCCAGCTCTTACGTTTTGTTTGAACCTATAAACAGTAAAATCTCTATTATTAGACAAGAGGAAGGGAAGAGGAGCAGGGATTGGATATGATCCATATGCATGTATGAAAATATCACATTGAAACCAAGTATTTTTAAAAATAGGCACTGATAAAAATATATTTCAATCTATTAAGGAAAAGCAAGCAAAAAGTAGTAAAAATCTCTCTTTTCTGGCATTTCAGGATTTGTCTAGTAAACAACCACTTACAGTGAACGTATTGGTAAGATCTGCTTTCCAGAACAGCCCAAAACCATCAATCTAGGTTTAGGATGTATCTAGCGCTAGTCACATCTGGCTGCATTTCTAGTTCTTTGGAAGTTGGTAAAGCAGAAATGTTACATCTGAGTATTTTAAAGATCTGTCTCATCACGGTCTGGGTATGGGAATCTCCTATCCATGTTCACTCTGAAGTTCCCCAGAGCAAAATGCTTAATGCTTTCAGGTGCTTAGGAGGGGGAACATGAGGGCACCAGCAAGCTCTGTGCACAACAGGGGCCGGCATTTGGGGACAATCTGGACATCAACTGTGACACCATTAACATGGGCTGAGCTGGGGCCTTAGGATGCCTAAGCTTCTGCTGGTGATTCTGGTGTCAAAGCCAGGGTGAGGTCCAGAGTCCCAGCCAGTGCTCGGGCAGTGTCAAAGGGCACACAGGGCAGCTGGGCTTGAGATTCTGACTCAGTAGGAGGAGAGGCCTACAGTCTGGCACCAATCACAAGTTCCTGGGTGTTGTCAATACCGCTGGCCCAGGGGCCATAATCTGAGGGGTGAGGAGTTAGCTGGTTTTATACAATAGCAGCTATAGGAAGGACTCTGGGCCGATCATCTTGCCTTATAAAGCTCAATAATGCTGTAGCAGCCGGGGATACAGCTCAGCAGCACAGGGCCTGCCTGGCAAGTGCAAGTCCTGAGTTTGATTCCCAGTACCAAAAAAAAGTAGTACTATAGTAACTTACAGGTTTTCAAAGTACAGTCCCCAGAAAAACAGCATTAGTATCTCTTGGGGATTACTGGAACTGCACATTCTAAGGCCCAATGTCAGACCTACAGAGCCATAAAAAATGGGGCGAGGGCATAGCAATGTGTTTTAACAAGCTTTTAAAGTGATTCTGGTGTGTGCTAAGGCTTGAGAACCACTGGTAATATGAGGCAATGCTGACAGCTCTTGTACATGTCAGGCACTGGGAAAAAACTCTGCAAATGTTTAGAACATCATGTCTCCACCCAACTCTACATATGGATGGCCACGGGGAGGCTCTGAGAGGTTAAGCTACCCAGATTCACACAGCCTGTGAGAAGGGGGCCGGGGCCCAAGTTCTCAGCCTGGTGGTACTGCCACAGCCATCAGCACTGACCCTTCTCCTGGGATAAACAGAGACAAGATCCAGCATCTTGGAAAACACAAGACTTTCCCCGCCACCTAACTGGAGATACAGATGCACTTAGTTGCATTCAGACAGAACGCATAACCTTTCTGTTTTCTGAAAGGACAGAGAATGAAAACCATGGATCACTGTTTACCATATCTTGGCCGAGAGGAGGCAGTGAGTCGAGCTCGCTCAGGTCATCCTGGGCCTGCTGGACAGCATGCATGCTTGTGTTGATGGTCCCCATCAGAGCCTGCTGGGCGGAGGTCTGCGAAGGCAGAAGAGCACAGGTGGTCAAGGCACGTTCCTGGGACTGACATGACCTTCCAGGCAAAACAGAGCAAAGCCGAACTCAGCTCAGTCAACGCTACATCTCAACAAGCACCTGGAATGTCTCCCGTCTCAATGAGGGGCCAGAAATAGATATTGTGTGATATTAATAGAACATAAAATGAAGGTGATTACAGTGGAGGGATCATAATCAGAAATGTACAGAGAGCTTAATTAGCTGACAGAAGCCTCAGAAAAGTCTTTGCAGGGGAAGCAAAGAAGTCTAACCTTCCAGTACTGAGGACAAAAGATCTCATGCATAGAAAACACAAGGACGTTAAACAAGATCATTTCTTTTTGGTACTGGAAATCAAACTCAGGGCCTCGAGCTTACTAGGCTGGCACTGTGCCACTGAGCTATATCACCAGCCCTAGATCATTTCTTGAATAGGATCGAAAGATTCCAGTCAAATTTATAGACAAAAGGCTTTTTAAGAATCAAATTCTTTCTCATCTTTGAGGCTCCTGACCTTTCAAAAGCCGTTAGGCAACAGTAAGATTCCCAAGGCAGGTCTGAAGGGCACTGAATCAGAGAGACCAATAGTCAGAAGAAATCAACTGACTTGGGTGAAACACCACGATCACTAAAAACCCAGTCTATTTCCATACCTGGGCCAGCGGAGTTTGATGCTGCTACAGCAGGGAGCAGAGCTCTATCCCAATAGCCCAAGTCATGCTGACAGGTCCTTAACCCTCCAGCCCCACAGGAAACCTCTGATCCACAGGAGTGATCAAAGCTACCAGTTTATAAAATGCACTGTGGTCTGTGTGGGACTTGGACAGCTCCCGTACACCACCTATCCCTACCGCTAGTGTCGTCCCTAGCACACTGCATACTGTCATCCCAGACCCTCCTGCTAGTGAAGGAGCACGGATGAGTAGAGGGATCCTCACCAGCGGAGGCATGTGACCGCGATGCATCTGCCCAACCATAACCTGCTGCTGCGGCGAAGGCATGCTGCCCACGTTGAAGGTCTCCGGCCCGCTGGAGCCTGAGCGCATCACAGCTGGTAGAGCCACTGAGCCGTGCTCCGCCTTGCCTGTCCGGTTGAACTGCTGCTGCAAGATTGTGGACCTGTAGGGAAGGGCGGGCAGTCACCGGAAGGAGCCACGCAAGTGGACCATGGTGAGATGACATCGCAGAGGTCACAGATGTCCACTGATATATCCAGGGGAGATCAATGTACAGAGGGACATCTGGAAGGGGACTTGGGAATGAAGCTGGAGTACCAAAGGCTCCGTAGAAGGCCTCCAGGTGTCGCCTTTCCCATCAGCAGTGTACACAGCTTCTCTCAATCTATCCATCAATAGCTTCATGCTGCTCTATGACTGTTTTTTCTCAAAGACAAAACCAAACCCATACTCCTATAATGGTGATGTCCCAAGTGGAGGTTGTAGATACAGTGATTTATTACTGGGTGAATCACGCAAAAGAACACTGATTCAACTAATGTCTACCTGAAGCCAGTTTCCATTCTGGGACTCAGAGATAGAGGTCATTTATCCTTAGTCAGAAGGGAGAAATGCCCATATGACCTGAAAGAGAACTTCTCACCTCTTAGCTCCCTTCCCCTAGGTCAAGTCCACTGACCATGGAGGGTATTTCTCTGTTTCTAGTGCTTTGACACACTTTGGTACATTTCCGAGATGACTTTTACTAGAAATAGGGAAGATGTTTATTTAGGGAGGGGGGTCTAACAAAATTGCTTTAATTTTTTACTTTCTGATAGTTTCTTAGAAGAGTGATAGGTGTGAAAGACTTTGATCCTTTGAAGCCTGAGGGTAGCATGTCTTCTTCAGGTGACAGTGCTCACCCTGTCAGGAAGAGCTAGTTTAGGAATTCCCAGTGAATGGTCACTAATAACTTCAAGCACTTAAGGTGCTCTGCCAGAGGGCAGCCAGGTCTTGGAATGCATCCCATCCGTACTGGCTGTGTCTTGTGTTGTAATGGAGACTGTATGGTTTGTGTCTAGATGTCCCTCCAAAGCCTCATGCAGTCATCTGGGTGGCTGAATCTAGAGTTTGTGATTGATTCATTCATTGTCTAGTGCTGGGACTATGGGTGTGAGTGCTATACCCACCCTAGGGCAGGTAGCCTGCATACAATACACGGGACAGAGAGTCTTCTCTTGTACTTCTCCCTTTTTGCTCTTGCTGCTTTTGCTGTCTCCCACCACCATGAACTGTTGCTCTTCTGCCATGTGCCACCCTGCCTTGGAGCCAGTTGGTTATGGAGTGGTACCTCCACAAACTGTGAGGTAAATAAACCCTTCCTTCTTTAATTTGGGGCATTGGGTATTTTGTGTCAGCAACGAGAGAACAGTAAGTAAGACAGGGACAAATGGAAAAGTACATTTGGTATGATTAGGAAGCAAATTTTGAGAAAGTGATGGCAAGGATGGAAATGTTGGAGAAATCACTGCTCTGGTTAAGCCAGTGCAAAATACTGTAATAAGCTAGAACTTCATGACCACGGATAATGGAGAACATTGCAAGATCTGACTCTGCATCTGGTCTCTGCCACACATGTGTACCTCCACTAACGACATGATCTTGGCTTCCTCATCCTGAAATCTGGGATCATATCTAGGCCTATCTCTTCGACACAGAGCTGCATTTGGGATCAATGAGATGTCCTGTCAGACACACAGCGGGATGGAGACAAGAACAGTGATCACGAAGGTCTATTCAACGTAAAAGGCTGTCTGTGCAGATTTCCCAACAAATATCATGTATTACGTGTTCATTAGTTTTAATAAATCTGTGCCTCACCTATAAATGGGGGTAACTTGAGACTGCTCTGAATATAAAATAATGATGATCATCATAACAATCTCATATACTATGCACCAGGCAATGTTTTAAGTGCTTTGTTAGTAACTCAGTCATCAAAACAACACCTGCAGGGGCGTACATTTTATCATCACTCCCATTTTTCAGATGGGCTCATGCAAGTAGAGAATTCACGGCCATAGAACAGACCCTAGGTCTGAACCCAGGAAGGCTGGCTTGGGATCCATGTTCTTGCCTCTTCCGCTCTGCCGCCTCACAGCCCGGGGGACAAGCACCGCGTCACACACAGTAACTCTTCAACTGGCTACGCACTGCGTCCCTTCCCCTCGAAGGCTCAGGATCAGAGAGAAGCCACTTCCCAGCTTCTTAATGATAGCAACCCCATTCAGCGGATTTAAGCGCAGAACGGGACTCACAAAGCCTCAGTGCCTCAGAAGGTGGAAGTCAGCACGACCTCCTGCTCAGACTTCCTGCACTCACCAGCCCAACCCCCGAGACAGCTGTGACACCACCAGTGCCGGCCCAAGGGCGAAACCCAGAAAAACAAGGCTCAGCTCCAGCATCCACTAACACCCCCTCCGGGCAAAGGGTTCAGAGTGACAGGCAGCAGGGCGGGCGGGGGAAAGCGGCCACCTTGGGAGAAGGCAGGTCCCCAGTGCTCCTGATACTTACTTTTTTGGGGAGACTGACTCCTCTAACATGGTGGACTCCTCATCACCTTCTAGTCCAAATCTATCTTTGCTTTGTTTCTGGAGGTAAAGCAAGAGGCAACAACGACAATTAGCAGACATTAACACAAGCGCCTTTGAAAAGAAGCTTTGAGGGGAAACGAACAAAAATGTTAGCATTTACCCTAAGTCGCTTGTATTAGATATTTAATAAGTGATGGACAAACACAGCCTGATGAAATAATTAAAATACACGATTTAATATACAGATATGTAGGGCTTTTTTGTCTTTATTATTACATAGATTACAAAGCAGAAAAATATCAAGGTGCACGTGGTAACATTCTATCACAACCTGATTATTCGAAAGGGCTGAACTGTAAGGCCTTTAAGAAATCCATTTTTGTCTGGATACCATATGGCACACAGCCCCACTAAATCTGGTAAAAACAAAACAAAAACCATGAAAACTACAAAGCACCCTTCTGGCCCCCCATGGGCGTTTCCACGAGGGCGGGGAAAACAGCAGGGCGACGAGGGGAGGAAGCAGCTAAAGGCCTCGCTCGCTCGTTCACTGACTGAGGGAAACGCCGCTGCTCATTACCCCGCAGTGAAGGAGACAGGGATTCTCAGGGGCTGTCCCAGGTCAGAGATTAAACGAGTGGATGAGGGATGGTTTTCAAGGTAGCCCCCATCAGCTGAACTCGGCCTCCTAATAAAGCGGGCTGGCTCTTCCAATTTGCATCCACAAGAAATACCTTTTTGAGGATGATGTCAATGTATCCTGCAATCAGCTGGGATATTTGCTCTCCCTCGGTGGTCTGGACTGAGTAGTAGCTTTCCTGATACTCCCCAAAATCCTGAAAGGAAGAAAAACAGCATCAAAGGAAATATGGCTTCATTAGGTCCACTGGCAGCTGTAAAGCCCGGAGGTCCAGTTCTCAGCACTATGACACACATTTCCCCATCTGCTCCCTCTAAACACCCAGAATTCATTCAACAACGGTGACACCAGAAGGGTAGAATGGCTGAGGGTCTTGGGCTTAAGGTTTTCCAATGTGGTAAGTTCTTAGGTTTCTTTTCTATCCCCTGTACACCCAAGACTGGGAGCAGGAGAGGCTTGCTTGATAAGTGGAACCTCCAATAGGCAGTTCCTGAAAAGCCTCATTTTCTGGCCACAGGACCAGAGAGGGAAAACCCAGCAGGTGCAGAGCAGTGAAACCCAGACCCCCCAGGCACAGAGAGGGAGGGGAGGAGCAGCAGAGTAAAGACCTGCGTTTCTCTGGCACCAACAGACTCGGGCAAGCTTCTGCTTCCTTCAGCGACGGCAGCCTAGGAAAGTGCCTCCTGCTTTCACAGGAAGAACCAACAGAGCATGGTACAAACTCACACAGTATCAAAGAGACAAAGCCACCCAGAACAGGGGCTTGGACACATGAAGCTGTTTTGCAACAGAAGTCCATAAACTCGGCCAGAACATTACACACGAATCCTGAACAAGGTACCTGTCCACCAAAACAGATGCAAGTAGCTTAAGAGTCTCCTAACATAATCATTAAGCTGTCGAGGATGAAATAAAAAATCGTTGTTTGTGTCAGGAACCAGGACAACCACGATTAGGAATCAGAAGACAAACAATTGATGCCAATAAATGATATCAGACTTATGTGATAAGGATTTTTAAAGCAGACGTGATGGTTAAGTTTGTCAGCGTGATTGGCTGTGGAGCTGTCTAGGGGATTATTAGGAAGGCACACTTCTGGGTTTGCTTGGGTGGGTCGAGGCACTGTGACCCTGGGTTCTGCACGTGGTCCCCAGCCCTCCCTTCTGAGCTCTTCCCCTGCTCTGCTTCCCTGCAGGAACTGAGCGGCTTTGCTCCACCCAGATACCTGCGTGTTGGACCAGCCACTCACAGACTGAAATCATGAGCTGTTTCCTCCTCTAGGCTGTGGGTACTGGGTCCTGTATTTGGTCACAGCAAGGGGAAAGCTCACTGATACGAGCCATAACAATGTTTCAACGAGCAATTACGAGCGTTCTTGAAAGGAAGGAGGAAAAATAAAGTTTCAAAGAAACCAAACTCACAACAAAGAACCAAATGTGGAAATTACAGAACTGAAAAAAATACAATAATCTAAAATATAAAATCTCACAGAAGAGGCTAGACAGTATTAGAGAGATTACAGAGTAGAATCAATAAATTTAAAAATAGATCAGTAGAATTTAATCAATCTGAACAACAAAGAGAAAATTAAAAAGTGCAGCATTAGGGACCTGGGAGAAACAAGAAAAGATCTAACATTAATGTAAGAATAACAAAAGGAGAGGTCAATGTGAGACCCAAAAAAAACCCCCAAAAAACCTGGAAGATATAATGGTAGAAAACTTCCCCAAATTAGTTAAAGATATAAACCTACAAATTCAACAAGCTAGGAAAACGCCAAAATAGAATACATGCTAAGAAACCCATAGCCACGCAATTTTGAAAACCAAAAATAAATTTTAAAAATCTGGAAAAAACCCAGGTAAATATGATAACACGACCTCTAAGCAAATACAAACTTCAATAACAACAAATTTTGCATACGAAAACATGGTGAGAAAAAAGTATCGTGGTGACATTTACGAAGTCCTAAAACAGAAGAAGTGTCAGTCCCAAACACGGTGTCTGACAAACTTACCCTTCACCAATGAAGAGGAAATGAAAACCCTCTCAGATGATGGAAAACTAAGAACCTGCTGCCAGCAGACTCACCCTTGAAGAAGGCCTAAAGGGAGCTAGTTTCCCAAAAACAAAGAAAATGGTAACAGAAGGCTGAGAATGTCTGAAATGTAAAAAATGAGATACAAAAAAATAGATATAGGACCCGGGATGTAGCCCAGTGGCGCAGCGCCTGCCTGGAAAAAGACAGGCCCTAAGTTCAATCCGTTATTAAAAAAAAAGATATAGTTTTCACTATATAGGCCTTTCAGCTGCTTGGCTAGGCTGATTCCTAAGTTTTTCATTTTTCTTCACATTATTGTGAATGGTATGGTTTTCCTAAACTGATACAGAGATTTAATACAATCCTAATAAAAACACCAATAACATTCCTCACAGAATTAGAGAAAACAATCCTAAGGTACATAGGGAACCAGAAGAGGCCCAGAACAGCAAAAGTAATCCTGGGTAGCAAGTTACATTACCAAGCTATAGCGGTAAAAACAGCCTGGTACAGGCACATAAACAGGCACATGCATCAGTGGAACAGAGCAGAGGATATAGAAATAACTCTACATGTTCAGCTATTTTGATCTCTGAGAAAACTCGCTGGAGGAAAGACAGGCTTTTTAACAAATGGTGCTGGCAAAGCTAGCTATCTGTGCGCGGAAGACTGAATCTAGACCCTTATCTCGCACCATTTACTAAACTAAAATCAAAATGGTTCAAAGATCTAAATATTACAACAGAAACAATCTGCCGGAAGACAAAATAGGTAAAAATTCAAAGTCATAGGCACTGGCCAAGACTTTCTGAACAGAATCCTAATGGCATAAGAAATAACATAAAAAATCAACAAATGGGATCATATCAAATTAAAAGGTTTCTGCACAGCAAAGGAAAAACCAATAGCGTGAAGACAGAACCTACAGGACAGGAAAAAAAATGTTGCCAGCTATACCTCAGGCAGAGGATTGATATCTACAATTTTAAAAGAACTAAAAAAAAAAAAAAA